GAGTAAGGGAGGGAATGAGAATGGGTTCAAAGGAGATCAGGAGATGAGATGGGGTTACTGGGCAAAGTAGAGGGGTTAGAACAGGAGAACAGATTGGAAACATTTGCATCTGTGACCATGGAGGAGGACAGAGTTGGGATGGGAAGGAGAAAAAAGCAAGAAGGAAGGAGAGTGGAGGAGAGGGGGAAGGTCATGTCAAAAGCTGTCATAAAGGTCCTCTCAGGAATTGGTAACTGATTAAAAGATAGGAAACAAAGGGAAGGAATAAATGGTCCATTTTCAGAATGGAGAGAGGTAAATAGTGGTGTCCCCCATAGGTCTGGGCCATCCTATTCAACATGTTCATAAATGATCTGGAAAAAGAGGTAAACAGTGAGGTGGCAAAATTTGCAGATGATACAAAACTACTCAAGATAGTTAAGTCCCAGGCCAACTGTGAAGAGCTACAAAAGGATCTCTCAAAACTAGGTGACTGGGCAAGAAAATGGCAGATGAAATTCAGTGTTGATAAATCCAACGTATTGCACATTGGAAAACATAATCCCAACTACACATATACAACAATGTGTTCTAAATTAGCTGTTACCTCTCAAGAAAGAGATCTTGGCGTCATTGTGGATAGTTCTCTGAAAACCAGGGCTTTGGAGCTGTGCTCCGGCTCCGCTCCAGCTCCAGGCAAAAACCTGCAGCTTCACTGCTCTGGAGCTGCTCTACGCTCCAGCTCCGGGGTCAGCTCCAAAGCCCTGCTGAAAACAGAATGTTGGGAATCATTAAGAAAGGGATTGATAAGAAGACAGAAAATATCATATTTCCTCTATATAAATCCATGGTACGCCCACATCTGCACACAATATTCAAGATGTGGTCGCCCCATCTCAAAAAAAGATACATTGGAATTGGAAAAGGTTTAGAAAAAGGCTACAAAAATTATTAGGGGTACGGAACGGCTTCTGTATGAGGAGAGATTAAGAAGACTAGAACTTTTCTGCTTGGAAAAGAGACGACTAAGGAGGGAATATGATTGAGGTCTATAAAATCATGACTGATGTGGAGAAAGTAAATAAGGAAGTGTTATTTACTCCTCCTTATAACACAAGAACTAGGGGTCAC